TTTTTTTTTTTTTTTTTTTTCAACGTTTCATCCACCGGCCAGCAACGAGCTGCTAACATTATGTTATTGAACACTGGAAACTTGGACCCCTGGTTGCGTAATTGTTTTGAATACACTGTAAATACGAAGTTCCAGCCTACTTGTCTTCGATGGACAGAAAATCTCTGTTTGTCAATGTCACTCTTACTGCCACTGAGACACAGACACAATGATGTATTTCTCTTTTTATTAACTTATTCAATTAAAAGACATTTCAAAAGAGATCTACTGTATATTTTCAAATGTATTTAAATAGCCAAAAACCAAACGTTTTTCCTCAGCCCTTTTAATATACGTACAGCATACAACAGTCTTTTATTCTCAACTTGGATACAAAAAACAGGAGAACAAAAAGAAAAGAAACCTCAGGAAGAGCAAGAGAAGAATGACTCTTTTTCCATGACTGAAGAGGTGATATTATAGTGATAGTGAACTATAGAGTTTGTTCAGGATTGTACAAATTTGGCACATTAACTTTCTGGCACATGTGCTGGGTATCAAAATCCGTTTCACCCTGAGCGGAGTCAGAGGAAATAAAAGCAAACCTATGAGAGTTTAATACATTTTAAATGATGTTTCGGAAGAATCATCATCTGCCAGATGAGTTTATTGGGTCAGATTAGATTATTATATATACATTGCACTGAAGATAAACCTGCTCCCCCGTTTCCTTTATATCCTATTGTAAGAAAGCACAGTATTGTCTCCAATCTAGCTGGCAGACTGTAGGCTGCTAAAGACATTACACACCCACTCTACTGCTGAAGCTGTTAGCAGCTATGGACCACCCTGCCAGTTAGCCACACACACGCACAGATACAGGTCTGTCAGGTGTTGATATTTAAAAGATCCATACCTCTCCTCTGGGTGCTTTTATAGTGGACATACAATGCAGACAAGTAGTAGACACTATGTTTTTATCTAATGGTGCATCCTGATTACATTTAACTGTTTACCTGACACTCAATTATATTTGGTGAGAATAAGAGCTTACAAAACAGCTCAGTCATGAACATATGGCTTTTTACTCTCTTTCATTTTTTCATTCGAGTTGGACACGCATATTATCACTGGCCCAGCAGGAGAAATATGTAAATATATAGTCTGAATACATTTAAACACTAAATTAGTTACTGGTGAATCAAAACCTTTCCTCCCTTTCTCTCCAGTCTCTCCCTCTCCTGCTGTCCCATGCTCCATTTGTCCTCCCCTCCACACGGCAGAGGATAAACTCATTTTGAGCAACAGATTCCTTCACACTAAAACCTGTCTGTGTGGATGGAACATTACTCTGTGCCACCGTTTGCTTTGGATCAGTACCGATGCTCGGAGATGGAGGGATGGAGGGATGGAGGGATGTAGGGAGGAGCGGCGTCTGCTCTCCTCATGCTGAACTTGGTTGAGAGATAGTGAGAAAATGCTGGCTGGTTTCAAGCATCATCGATTTCTTTTCGTGAGGTTCAGGTAGCGGCCAGGTCTTACCATACTGAATATTCTGGTTTTCAAATAAATTAAAGCGCCATCAGTGGGTGTGCACGTTGTAGCCCATTAACTACAAATTGCATTTACATTTGTCTCATACCTGCTAGGGAGCCACCGTTTTCTATTCAATTTAGTATGGTATCAAAATCACTTAATGGGTATTCCATTGAATGTCCAGTAACATTTAGAAGGATCTATTGACGGAAATTGAATATAATATTCATAGGTATGTTTTCATTAGCGTACAATCACCTGAAAATAAGAATCGCTGTGTTTGTGTGACCTTAGAATGAGCAGTTTTTATATACAGAGTGAGTGGGTCCTCTTCCAAGTCCACCAATTTTCTCCTACATGCTTGGAAGGCCAGTTGATTGCAGTCTGCAATTTCAGATTGCCACTAAATCCTACACACTGGTCCTTTTAAAGTAAACACTTCAGTGCCTTTAAATGTTTGTCCTGTAACGAAGTTGTAAGCAAAGAACTATTTTGAAAACTCTCCTTTCTGATGTACTGGAGGAAACTCCGGCATCCAACAGTTGACAGTGAGCTGCCAAACAACAATTTTTTTGAATGCCTGAAACTACCACAAGATCCATGTTTGATTATTGTTTATCTTGTAAATTTTATTTTCTGATAACTCAGTCTGCTAATGCAGTGCTGTTTAGCAGCCAACTCTCAAAGTTTGCATACCATGATGCACTCGGTCAATAATAAAGTTACCCAGTGGAGTTATGTTTATGCTCGCATTCAGTGTTTCTCAACAGAACCCATTTTGTGTTTCCTTAAGGTCTAACAGATGTGTTGAATATTTTTCCTTTCTCATAAAACATTTCAGAGGCCAATTTTTTGAATATTTAAAACTGTGAATTGTTTACATTCATGTTTGCCAGCTAGCAGCCTTCTTCCTCACTGCCTTTGCAGGCTCATTGCCACCGTTCTTTGCACGTTATTGCCACCAACGATGCAAAATTGCATGAAAGCAGAGGCATTAATGTATATGACGCAGCCTATTTGCTCGCAAAATGGGGACCACTCATAAAACCACCGCTCCACAGCATTACTGGCAGTCAAAAACAGCATTCAGTACTTGTAATAGGATAGAACCAGTGGTATGGTCCTTTATGTCTGCAATCTGTATTTTATTCTCAAGAATAGTTTTTAAAACACAAATTTGCTCCACAGACACTAGTCACATTCTAACTATTATGTAGGTCAGATTGTTTGTTTTTTTATTTTCAGATGTCGGCATCCCATGAATAGCTGCTTTTTATGACGGATGGCACAATAAATAATAGTCATATTCAGTTATGGCTGGCATGCCTTTAAGATGTGTTTGGTGAAAATGGTGTTTATTGACTGTACCACCATATTTATATTCTATCCATGGCCAAGATGTCTAAGAAACACTGTATTTAATTTTTGTCCTGTCTAATCTTTTTTAACAGACAATAGTATCTATAGTATGTGGTTGAAATGGGGTTGTGTGTGTAGCAGTAGTAGGAAATGATTAAAAACTTGTGGAGCAGTTTGACTAACTATTGCTTGACCACTTTAGTTCATCCAATGTGTTATAGGGGAGATTTATAAACTTGAAGGGCCTTACAGATTTCTTAAACCTCAGAAACATATCAAAAGATGAGATTTCAGCTCAAAATCTGTGTGAATCAACACATTTCTCTCTCCTTCAGCTGAGAGGACTAACGAGGTCATCGTTGGAACGGACCAGCTGATGGAGATCTAGCTCCTATGGGGAAGGAGTGGCATCCCCTTATTAACCAGTCAGAGCAGAAAAATGCAGATGACAACTAATTCACTGGCTGACTGACCAATCAGAAGCCTAGACGCTGCTTGGCGGTTCTACACTCTCTTCTCATAAGCTTTTTTTGTACATTGTGTCCAAATAAAGACAAGTGCTTCAACCTATTAATTAGTATGTTGGTGTTTTTTTGTTTTTGTTTTTGTTGCGATATCTTCATCTTTTAGGAATTTTAGTGATAGGTCTTCATCGCTTTGACTTGTCTGTTCTAGGTAGATCTCTGTAATTGTTTTACCACACTAGTTATTATCAGATCATTACTGTCTCCTAATAGCAGGTCTCAATTGCTCTGATTCCCCAGTTTGAGAGTGTGGAACAGACACGTACACGTTCAAATGTGCATGGGTGTTTACATGTGCACACTGTGCAGCTGTGAAGACCAGAGATGGAGAAAAAAAGCAGCGGGGAGGGGAGACCACAATGGCGTGGGGGTTAAGTTTATTTGTACACAAAAATGGTGTATGTGTAGGCCCTGGACCACCCAGCTTGATCCTGTATCAGTTAACACCGACACCCCACCCTCACACACACTCACACGAACACAGCAAAGGAGGAAACTGACTCGCGCCTGACACTTTTCTTTCTTTTTTCTCCTCTTCTTTCCCTCTCTGCTCCCTTTGCTGTCACAAGATTTATTGCATTCCTTCAGCAGAGCATTTCTTAAATTACAGGTTTGAAGTTCCTTAGTCACGAAGGAAGAGGATGAGGATGAGGACAGGGATGTCTGTGGGGGTGCTTTGTGTGTATGTGCGGGTTTGTGTGTGTGTGTGTGTGATTTAATGTCCTCTGTTTCCTATTGTGTCTGTGGCCTTGCAGGAGTCATTTAAACGGTCTCTTGTGGCCTGATTATGTGTTGTTGCTGTGTGTGTGTGTGAGATTATGATGTCATGTCCTCCATCCCTACTGTCCTTTAGATGCGATTGTTAGTCAGTTACATAGTCATGTTTTTATGATTATTTCAGAAAAAAAGACTAGTGTGACCTTCATCTATACTAATGTCAGCTATAGAATACCGTCGTGAACTATGTTTTCATCCCCAGTTCCCAACACATTTAAACATACAACTTTGTTAATGAAGAGATCTAACTTTCCACATATTTCCTTTCCTTAAAGGGAAATTTATTAAGACACACACTAGTGTCTGGGTAACAGTTGCATTATTGGACATGTAAAACTGTCATTTTGTTCAACCCAGTCTCCTGGAAGTATGTTAACGTACAACTAATGTGCAACAGCTAATATGTTTTTGAGGAAGCACAATGCCGCCCAGATGCCTTTTTTACCTTATTGATAGAACATAATTTGGAAAAAGTTGTTAATTAATCAGTCAAGTTGCAAAAATGTTTACAGTGAATATATCAGTAAAATGTCCAGTCTCTTTCTACAGCCAGTGTTTGGTTTGTCCTTTCTGGGCTACCCGTAGAAACATGAACGGAAGGCGACCCACGGCGTCTTTAGATATAAACAGCTCATTCTAAGGTAACAAAAACTCAACAATACTTAAATTTAGGTGATTAAACACTAATGAAAACATACCTATGATTATTATATTATGTTTCTTTATTTTCTTTTTCTTTATTCTTTTGGGCTTATGCATTAATTTGATAGGAGCAGCTTGAATACAGAGAGGAAAGCAGAGAAAGAGAGAGAGGGGAGATGACATGCAGCAAAGGGCCACAGGTTGGAACCAAACCCAGGCCTCCGTACATGGGGCGCATACTCCTCCACATCAGCTACCATGGCCCTTCATTGTATTCAGTTTCTGCCAAAAGAGCCTCTTAAATGTTACACTCCGGACCTTCAATACAGAACAATGTTAATTAACATTTAACTAAAACAACAATATTTCCCTTGCTTTTATTAGCTGAAGCTAACAACAAACAGGAATCCGAACATAACTGGAAGACAGATTATTGGCAAAATAAAAGTCACAGGCAACAGAAGGCCCCCAGGTAAAAAGAAATTATTGATTCATAGTTGAAGTTTTGAGACTATTGTTCACACTGGAAAGATTACAAAAAGAATTAAACTCAAACCAGACAGAAGGCTTCACTAAATACAATCATTTTTTGAGTGTGATGATGTACACTATTTTCCCACAGTGCAATGGACAAAGGAAAAGCTGCTCACAGCTGGAAAAATTTAGATTCTGTCTGGTGGTGGGACGGCCTCACCCACAATCTGGAGATCTTGGAAAAGAAAAAATCTTTAAAAAAATATTTTGTTCAAGTTCAACTGGCAATAATATACTCATTCTATCATTTCTCAGTTTCTTATGTATACAAACACCTCAAACACACAGTGATGATTATGGATATGTGATGCAGCGACTAGTCTCGCCTCATAGTTGTTTGTGTCCAGCTGTGTATCAAAGTATAAAATGCTGTCAACCTAGCTGCTAACTTGTGGATAAATATAAAATTTGACTTTATTATTGGCATTGTGGAACAGAGCAGGTGAAAGTCCATAAAACATGGTCATTTTAACAACTTATAAAACATCAGCTTTACAGTACACGATGGAATGCAAAACAAGGAGTTGAACTTTAATTTAACTGGTTTCCTTTACAAGAATACATTCCATAAATGTGGGTCCCGGGTTGAAAAGATGAACTGCTACAGAAACAAAGTATTCTTTATATGGCCGTTTGGGTCCTGCCACAGAACTTTCTTCCCAGTGTGTTTACTGTAGCTGTGGCTTTAGCTCACAAATTGAAATACTTCATAGTTCAGTAGTTTTCCATGCCCCTTGTCTTACCTGTGTTCATCTTCCTGCTGCATTTTTCAGTAGATTAGTAGATTTAGATTTTATTCTTAAGGCTTCATATTTTATAGTAACAGCCTTGTAGTTGTTTTTTCTAGATGTAATTTGATGATTGTTCATCCTCATCAGTTATTTCCTTCTATATTGCAAATTTAAATCACAAGACAGTCATTTTTGTAATTTTGCATCCTAGTGTAGTCATTTCTCTCAGAGTGACTTGATGAGGAGGTGAAAGACTACATTTGTCACATAAGTTTTTAGCAAAAAAATTGCGAAAACCACAGTTAAGGTTCACTTTGTCTGTGCTCTTTGTCTTGGCTGTGTTAACCTTTTTTAGCGGTCTCACACTCTGACCTCTCTCCTCAACCACATGATGAGGTCTGGCAGCCGGGTGTGTTTGGGTAGAGGTTTGTATATTTACACAAAGACCCCAGAGTCCCCTCAATACAACGCCACCATGGCCAAGCCTGCCTTCCAAGTACATACATGTGTTTGCTGTCGTATGTGCACACATGTGTGCAGGCTTACCTGTGTGTGACCACTGTTAATCCTCTGTCACACAAACTAATCAATGCTGTCCCACACTCCTTTGAGTGAATGCATGCATGCGTGTGCACACATGCGTACACAAATGTGCATGTTTGCTTTGCAGATCTAGAGATCAGATGTCAAGCAACAGATCATATATCAGGCTGTCTGTCGCTCTTTGGTTTTGTAGCCTTGTGGAATTTTCTGACATCTCGACAGAAGATTTTCATCTAATTATGCATCCCAAACAAATCAATCCAATACCAGAAAGAGGAGAAGTGATCTGTAAAATAAAACATTTTTATGGACAGATTATCATCAGTTACCCGTTTTGCTGGCAGCACATTTGCCCACAATATTTGTTTTAACAAGAATAAAATCGTGTGTGTTCATAAATGACTGCTCTTGCACACCTGCAGTGACATTTTAAGTTCTACTTCTGAGCGAATCATGCCTGATCTGATTCTTGTGTGTTAAATGTGTAGTTTTCTTATACGTCTGTGTGCAGAGTGAATCATGAAGACATCACTTTTTTAGGACATTAATAACATAGAAGTTGACAGGAGTCTGGAGATTGAAAGGCTTGTTCACATCAGAGTTTTTTCAGAGTCTGGGAAGGGACCCAAAGCTGGTTGGGGAAAATTCAAATGGGTGTCAATGCTTTCAGTCAGGATAAATGCATTATATGACACTTTATCTTGACTCTGTCTCTCATCTCACATGCATCTCCAAAACAAAGTTTTCTTAATAAAATGCAGCTGGTTGGTTAATCGTTTAAAGGGTCAGTTTTCCCAAATCACAAAAAGCAGTTTTTCCCACTTATCGCAAGTGGCGTCTGGCCATGAATAATTTGGTTTTGTGGGCCACAGTTTTGAGATATTCACCTCTGTCACTACCTGATTACAATGGAGGCTAATGGAATTTTGTTTGTGGTGTAGAAAAATTACATTTATGAATTCAGCAACAATGTGATTTTCAAGAAACAATGTCCTATTATTCTGGATCCAAAGACCAAAATGTCTGACTGGCAATAGTTTTTATTGGAACTACTTTCTACTGAGAAAGACGTGATGAAATCTGTCCAAAGTAAAGTCTGTGGATTATCTAGAAAAAGTTAGATAAAGTTGGGGAGGAAGTGTTTGACCTTCCTCAACTTTGATTTATGAAGTGAGAAATAGACCAACAAAACAACCAAACAGAAAATGTGCAACCAAATAGTTTGGCCGGTGTTTCTTTTACTTTTTCTCTTGGGTTTAACTACTTCCCTCAGTGTAAACAGCATATAGCTTCAAGATATACTTGGAACAAGCAGAATATATGAGATTGTCAGTTTGTGTGGAATTAAATGGTTTTAATAACCTTAAAGCTAAGAAACAAAACAAGATTTCTGAGAAATTCTCTGACATATGATGTCTTACTTTTGCTTCTGCTGAACCTGTCAACGGCTGAACCCTAAGGGGGGGAAATATAAAATAAAGAACCATAGTCTCAGATAGATGGGTGGTGGAGACAAATGTGCGATATATAGACATGCACAGATGCACAGAGAGGTGGGGTGGAGTCTAAGTTCTGGGTTGGGTGAGGGGTGGGGGTTGTGGGGGGTATGGCTGAGTAGCTGGGTGGCTTCATGGCTTGAGGGCTGATCGTGGGTGAGCAAGAGAGAGAGACAGAGAGCAGCAGGAAGCGAGCAGGCCACCCAAGTGGTAGTTCAGTCAGAAACCTGTGGTGGTGTTTGCTGCTGACCCCTACACATTTCACAAACACTTCCTCATTTTGTCTTCTGTGTTCTCCGGCCATTCACCCACCGAATATTTCC